GAAAGAGGTTTAGGTATCAAAAACCCTGTGAGCTTTCTCGGATAAGGGAAACAATTTCAAGCATTTCCTTTCATGTGTGTGATTTCAGGAAGTTTTAGAACAGTGTGGTGACACTGAAGTCATGGGGATTGGGCTGGTTTACACCTGCTGTGGATGCACCTAGCTACTTAGTTTTTAGCATTACATTCCATTTTCTTTTACAGTGATATGGAAAATTAGTAGAAATAACTAACTAACTAAAAATCACACTATAGAGACAAAAATGAAGAGAGATTCATTTTCATAGTGATTCCTACTCATAGCACAGAGATGACTCTAGTGGCTCTAACAATTTTGCGCTACATCTGTGGAACAAGTGGCTTAATTACTCTGTGCCCTTGCTGGAGACTATATCCAAAAGAGAAATGCATTTTTCTTAGCTAGATCATACGAGCAAAGACAAAGAGCACAGATTTTGTCTCCATTATTATCTTTCCTTCCCTCTCAGCATAAAAATGAAGAATTTCAGCTAGCCTCCAGCCATACAACAGTCCCATCTCCCCTTCTCCTGAACTCACTTGCAGCTGCAGGAGTTTAATGTGGGGGGTCAAGTGTACCAGTCTAAATGAACCCTTTACTTGTCTAAATCCTACAAACCCGCCCAGCAGCGTGCCTGCCTGTGGATCAGAGAGCTCAGGGAAAATGCCTTCTGTCACTCCAACTTAATAAAAATGTTTAGAATATCCTGCTGGGAAATTGCTACTGTACCATTTACTCAGCTGCAGAAGATGAACCGGCATATCCTGAACTTGGCCTTTTTGTGAACCTTGAGGTTTTTCCTGGGAGGAACAGATCCTCTGCTTCAGTGCAGTTATGTCAATTGACACCTGCTAACAGGCTGCTTCTCTGTAAACCCTGAACTTGTGGATTACTGTCCTCCTCCTAAAGCTACCCTTCCAACTGATCAGATGTTCATAATCCAAGATGAGGCTAGCAAGGGTTTGAAGCAAATCCTTCTTGCACACTGTGAATTCAGCTTTTCCTACCCAGGTGGGAAGCAAAGCAGATGGGATGTATCTCTTGTTTTGGCCACAGCAGCAAGATAAGAGGGGACTTGCAGTTCTCTAGATCTTGCCTACACAGTAGCATTTAACAAGAGTTTTCTCACAGCTGCTACCAGGGGCTCAGATTCACACTGACACCATCCTGAGTGTGGTCCCCATAGCAAAGCGCTTAAGGTCAAGGCAAAAGACGTGAGGGAAACCAGATGGAAAAATGACTTGTTCATGCTGCTACCCAGTTGCGTTAGGATGGGGACCCATGCAGCTTACACAGTCTGAATAGTCCCAGGTTCATGGCCCTGTGTGATTCAGGTCAGCCGATGCTCTAATCACCCGGCTACAGATGCCGTCTCTCCGAGTCCCAGGAAATATTTAATTAGCTGTACAATGCAGAAGCAGCTCCCAAAGGAAAATTCCTCTGCAAAACAGCCATCGACTTCGTGCTAAAGTACCCACGGGGGCTGGAGCACAGCTGGGTCTGAATCCCAGGCCTGGAACAAAGGGAAAGGATCTCCTGCTCTCGCAATGCTCTGGCACAGCTCTCTTCCTCCTGTTTTGGCCCAGGGGAAGATTTCCCAATGCAAGCTTCATCAATATGGATAAATTTCCACCAAAAAAAAAAAATTAGACTTGCCAGAGTGAAACTTTGCAAACCAGTTCTCTCAACTCTGGCTAAGCAGTGAGCAATAGCAAAGGTCAGGTTTCTTGTGATTTTTACCAAGCTAAAGTAACGAGACCGCCTTTTTTGTGGTGTACTTCAGAGAGGGCCTCTGTGAGGGCAGTTCCAGTGGAGGTGAACAGGCTTACTGAGTGCAGGAGTGGTTTTCCTTGGCAGGGAAACATCCTCTCTAAATCTCCCATGTGTCTGATGTCTGGGCACCAGTTCTGCCACCTTGTCTGTCCCTCATGTCCAGGGCTGCAGTGTGTCTACACTTTGTCCCCCAGTTTGGGATGGCAGTGCCTGCTTCTGCCTGTGCTCGATCCCTCACTGGAATATACCCATCTCCATGCTGGATTTGTAGCACAACAGGACAGTGCCTTTCTCTCCTTTACCAGGGATACCTGTGGCTCTGGACAGCATGACTTGAAAACACACAGGGAGAAGAAAAACCTTACCCTAACTTGCACCCTTCTCCCCTACATCCAGCCATGGTCCACCCAGCTACTGGGATTTCAGGGAATGGAGAAGAGAAAGAAAAGCAGCAAACGTGACTGCAGGCCAGGTAGCCCAACTGCAGCGTGGAGTTGCTGCTCCTCTCGAGGGACAGATGTGGGTTAAGGCTCTGCAAAGGCTAACTGAAAAGGAGAGACATCCTTCACTGGGAGACATCCAGCATTTGAAACAGAACATAATCTCAAGGAGAAGCTGAAGAGCCCAGTTTCTCTCAGTGCCTGCTCTAGATTTTTCCCAATCACTCACTCCCTTCAAGGCGATTAATGGATTCCTAATAGTGGTCACTGAACCTCATGGAGTCCTAATGCTGACTGACGTTTGCACTGAAACAGTATTTCTTGCTGGAGGAAGAGACTCAGATAGGCCTGCACTGGCTCTGCTCTGCAAGCCCCTGAGGACAGTGATGGAGACCAGCCATGCTGCCCTGTGGCCCTTGGAGATGACCCCTTCACCCCTTCAGTGGGAACTCCAGAAAGTTGTTTTGGCTAGAACCACACACCATCCCTCCCCACCCTCACTGCCCCCCGTGCAGTGCCCAGCAGGATGGGGAGGATAAACATGTTTGTGCTCAGCTACCGCTCCTCTTAGAGAGTACGGGCAGCCAGTGCTGGCACCACAGGAAAGCAAGGGACCATGTTCTGGGGGGATGCTGCCAGGACACACACTGTGAAAGAACAGCGGTGTGACCTCCTCCTTCCCTTGGCATAGTCCAGCTCCTGGCACTGGGGTCAACACTACCCTGAGTTAAGCCAAGCGGCAGCTTGGTAAGGTGAAAAGAAAGGTTGGTGGAAGAGGAAAGCAGTAAAGAAATGGGGGGATTGGCATGAAGGGTAGCTGAGCAAAGACAAGCAAAAGGAGGGAGCAGCGAGAGGGTTACAGCCTGGTACAACCTGTCTGGGGGAGCAGGGTAGGAGGAAGGAGAAGGCACTATCCTGGCTCATAGGGAGCAACAAAGGGAGAGACCAAAGGTGGCTGCAGCCAGGAGACAGGCAGGCTGTGGGGGCGAGAGAGGAGCCCTGGGATGCCAGGCATTCCCCAGGCCCCTCCGCCATCACCCTCTCCTCTGACACCATCTCTGTCTTCCAGGTCAGTGAATAATTTCCTGATGACGGGCCCCAAGGTAAGAGAAATCCCTTTGATCTCTGTCCCTGATTCCACTAAACCCAGGGAGAGAGGGGCTCCATCCAGCATTATCCAGTGCTTCCCTCACCCCCAAGTTTCCAGCAGCAAGACAGGAGCATCAGGAATGACCTGCTATGAGCTGCAATTCCTTAGGCTCCCCAAGGTTTGGGTCCTTTTAAATTGGTTGGGGTGAGATTTTGGAATTTGCCTCTTGGCATCAGCTGAGGGTCTCTGCCATCTATTGCCTCCTGATGATCAGGTTAGCATCAGGACTCACATTCACTGAGCTTGCAAGGTACTTTCTATAGGCCCTGCAAAACATACCTCCCTGAGGAACGCAACTGGAATTGCCAGGACCTTGTTCAGTATTTCTGATCCCATGCCTTCTTGTACCCCTCTTTCAGAGGCTTTTTTTCCTAGCCAGGACCAGTAGTAAAAATTCACCCCATTTTTGTTCTGGCTGTTCCACAGCAACACTTCCAAGCCTGTCTAGCTCTTTCTATGGTTTTCAATGCTGTGGTGGAGCAACCTTGCCCCAGAGCACTGTCTGTGCCCCTGCGGCTGCGGTGAAGGAGGGGGCAGGCAGGGGCAGCTGCTGGCCTGGAGCTCCCTGGTCTCTGAGTAGAATGTTCTGCCTCCTCTCACACTGGAGAGATAAAGGCTTCCCCACGGCAGGGCTGGCTGGCACACCTCCTAACATGGCTAACAGCCAACAGCTCAGCCTTCTCCCCCGGGAGGCTCAGGCTCTGGCCCAGCACAGCAGAAAATGCATTCGCTGCTGGTAGTGGCAAGCTCCAGTCCCCAGTGAGCCAAGCCTGGGAGACCTCCGCTCTGTACATCTTGTCTCTGCAAGATGGCATGCAAGTAATTTTCAATTGAAAGCCAGCCTCCTGGGGAGCCTGGGGCCATGTTCTCCCTGTTGGTTTGCACTGTATTTTGCCATCCATCTAGACCCCAAAGCAGCAGGACCCATGATATGAAGCACAGGGCAGGGAAGCTACACCTGCATTAGCCCCGCTACTGGGGCTGGGCCTACACCAGCTTTGCACTGTGTGTGATGGAAACTAGACCTGCTGAGTGAATCCTGGACCTCGGAGTAGCCTGGGGACATTCCCGTCCTGTCACCCACGGGGATAGTCTCTGCATGCTGGCCATTGCACCCAGACCCAGTTTTGCCACTCAAACACCTGACTCCTTGCCCCATTGCTAGGGGGCTGAGCAGGGCACACGCCGTTCCCCTCCTGACCTGCTGCTCTGCTCCTAGGCCTACCTCATCTACTCGAGCAGCGTGGCGGCCGGGGCGCAGAGCGGCATCGAGGAGTGCAAGTTCCAGTTCGCCTGGGACCGCTGGAACTGCCCCGAGAGGGCACTGCAGCTCTCCAGCCACGGCGGGCTGCGCAGCGGCAAGGAAAGCGTTGGATACCCTCGCTGCAGGTTAGAGCCCGTGGGGTCTGTGCCTCCTTTTCCTCCCCATCCCCACCTGGGATATGCCTCTCCCAGGCATGCCCCAGGGGGATCTTTCCAGGAGGCAGGCCTGGGTATGGAGGAGAGCCTCAGGCCCTTGAGGGACTGGCAGTAGACAAGGGACCAGAGGCCCAGGCAGAGGTGGACAGAGATTTCTTGGGGTCTTGAGGAGGCGATTGTAGCACAAAGTAACACTCAGGGACTGGGAGCATCCCTGAACCGTTCCCATCAAGGTTATCAGATCCAGACCTTGGTGGTATTAAATGAGAGCCAAAGGCTTAGTGAAGTCAGATGATTGCTGACCACTGATCCTGGTGGGTGGGTGTATGGTCACTGCTCAGAGCCCGGTACAGTGTCCAGCAGAAGGTGAAGCTCAAGGGGGCTGTGGAGAAGTTGCTTTTTGATCCTTGGAGAGGGCCCCTTCTCTCTGGGGTGTGTCAGTGAGGTGTAGGGACATTTAGCTGCCTGCTATATCCCCACTGCCAAGCTCCCACAAGGACAGCCAAGTGCTAAGCTTAATCTGAACCTTTGGAAATGGCATGAGTCAGTCTGGGTTGTAGGGCCTCCTCCCTACTCCACGAAGTCCTGCCCATCGCAGGTCTCTTCTCACACTGTCTCCTGCATGGCAGGAGTCATTTCCAACACTGTTCTCACCATGGAATCTGCTCTCCTTGTATTCCCGCTTGACAGCAAACCGGGAGACCGCTTTTGTCCATGCCATCAGCTCTGCGGGCGTCATGTACACGCTGACCCGGAACTGCAGCCTGGGGGATTTTGACAACTGTGGCTGTGACGACTCCCGCAATGGACAGCTGGGTAAGGAGAGACCAGTGGCGTCCCTCTTCATGTCCCTGGCAGCAGAGGCAGCTCTTCCCCTCTCCTCTGCTGAGGCCTTCAGAAACAAACAACTCTTCTTCCTGGTCCCTGCACCTGGAAATAGTGCCCAGGCAGAGCTTTGCCTGGCTCAAACCAAAGTAGCTCTGTGGAAGCTAATGGGGCCACCTCCAGTTTACCCCAGCTGAGGCCAAGTCCTTGATGTTTTCCATTATATTCTAAATGAGCAGGAAAGTAGAATGGGGTGGCAGTTTCCCTGGTTCAAATCAAGAGCAACTCTGTTTAAGCTGCTGGAGGGAATGACTGTGTCATAAGGCAGAGGAGAGGATCTGATGTCATGTATCTACGTGGCAGGTCTGGTTAGAGCGGTGCTGACCAGGGACCTCAGGACTCCCAGGGTCTGCAGGACCAGGGTGGCCCCAGAGCAGAATTACCAGAAGGGAAGGCAGGGTGACATTCATAACCCCCTTCAGCGTTTGCCAGCATGGCAGGCACATGAGAGCACAACCAGGAGAACCGCTGTGGTAGCACACACCCTTCATCCCATTCCTATCACAGCAGTACCCAGGCCCACAGCCACTAAGGAACCCTAGGTAGAGAACCCCAGGCTGCACCACTCCAGATCTTGGCTCAGCTTTCATGGAAAACATTGACATTTCAGTCTTTTGTTTTGAATGGAAAGCTGTCTAATGTCAAATTACCAAATCTTTTAAAAGCCATGCCTCGCCCAGCAGCACTGGGCAGTTGGTATGTGCCAGTTTATGACAAACTCCTCTGGAATATACAGCATTTAGTAAGTTGCTTTATTGGCTAATAGTTTTCAAAACAGCCACTGGTGCTTAGGTGTCTGAGATGTGGGATAGCCCATCTCTAAGTCTAGCAGAGCAAGACTTTTGGGCAGTGATACACCAAATTTTATTTCTTCTGGAAAACTGAGTTAGTCATGCTACACTTCCTCTCTCCAAAACAGCTGTTTTCATGAAAATTTTCCATTATGAACTTAAAACCTTGGGAAGCAAAGAAGACTTTTGGGTTTGTCCAAAACAGTGCGTTTCAATTCTAAATGTCGTTGTACTGAATCCAAGTTGGTGAAAGGTTTACATTCTCCCTTTGGTCCCAGCACTTGATTTGGACTTCATTATCCACGGTAATTACCCACGTCCCATGAGACACCCCTGCCTTTCCCTGAGAGAGGAGACCGCCGTGCTCTGGTGAAGCCCAGGCAAGGGCCAGGCCTTTCAAGAGATGCACAAGGCCATTAAACCACAACTCCCAGATGTACTGCCAAGGCACGTTAGGGTCAGAATGTTCCATATCTCAAATCTTCATAAAGAATGTGTCATTTTTCTCTGGGAGGAAAAGAAGCAAGCCTCATGATATGTGTCCAGTCAGCCAAGCTAAGTTATCGAGCTCCCACGCAGTTAGGAAAAGTACCCTCCACATTTTGCTATGCAGTTTCCCAGTTCTGTGCTGTTTCCTTTGTTTCTTTATGATAATTGGAAAATTAGACCCTTCTGAGATGCCAAACATCATCCCAGGATTCTGGGTGTACCAAAAAGAGGGCCTCCTCCATATGTGTGTGCCAGGTTTGGGTTGTCTCCTGGCAGAGGGGAATCTGTTCCCTCTGACCAGGATGCCTCCACCAGTTTGCTAATCCATGTTAGCAAGGTGGTGTCCCTGCAAGTCAGACTGAACCAGCTCAAGTCAGGGTTTGAGGGAAGTTGATAAAAGACCCACAGCTTTATCAATAGGGCTGCTAATGAATGATAGTTAGCAGCTTCTGAATCTTGCTCTATAAAAAGCCTGGGTTTGTCACACAGGATGTACTCCTGTGTTGCCTGCATAAGCCACTTACTATCCAGGCCTCAGGAGAAATGCATGAGCCCTAGGAGAGGGAGTTGGGGAGTACCAAGAAGCAACTGGCTGTATTTGCACCACAGCCTCTGTTCCCTCCCATCACTTCTGAGACCCTTTCTTGTCCTCATAAGCCACAAGCCAGGCAAGTGAGGGGCTGGCTCCCTGACAGCACACATCTCATCTTTCCTAGGGGGCCAAGGCTGGCTGTGGGGAGGCTGCAGCGATAACGTGGGCTTTGGGGAAGCCATTTCCAAGCAGTTTGTGGATGCCCTAGAGACTGGACAAGATGCCAGAGCTGCTATGAACCTGCACAACAATGAGGCGGGTAGAAAGGTGAGCCCCTCTCTCCCTGCAGACCTGAGAGCACACACCAGATTGGCTCTGGACATTCAATTGTGCAGAGTCACAACTGGCTGCGGCTGAAAGCACAGGCCCAGAAGAAACAACCACTCTGCTAAGGAGAAAGGCATGGAAGCAGTACAAACATGATGGGTGGTGTTCGTTCTAAGGTAGCAAACCTTCCATGATCACACTGTTAATGGCTTCCTGCTGCCCTCTTTCTCCCAGTTCAAGCAGCAAGGTACCATGGAGAAATCTACAAGCTTTAAGCCAACAACCCCTGTGCAGGACCACTGCGCAAGGAGGTTTGATGGCAAACCCCTCCTGAAGGGCCAGGAAGCCATGTTTCCCTATGTACTGCTGCATGAAATGATCCCTCTGGGCTTTTCCCTGAATCCCCTCTCCCTCCTTACCCTGTAGGCTGTGAAAGGGACCATGAAACGGACTTGCAAATGCCATGGTGTGTCGGGGAGCTGCACCACCCAGACCTGCTGGCTGCAGCTGCCTGAGTTTCGGGAAGTGGGCACTTACCTCAAGGAGAGGTATCACAAAGCCCTGAAGGTGGACTTGCTGCAGGGTGCAGGAAACAGCGCTGCCAGCCGGGGTGCCATCGCCGAGACCTTCAGCTCCATCTCCAAGAAGGAACTGGTCCATTTGGAAGACTCTCCTGACTACTGCCTAGAGAACAAGACACTGGGGCTGCTGGGCACAGAGGGCAGGGAGTGCCTGAAGCGGGGCAAGGCGCTCAGCAAGTGGGAGAAGCGGAGCTGCCGGCGGCTGTGTGGGTTTTTTTGGCAGTGGAGGAGAGGCGAGCCGAGATGGTGTCCAGCTGCAACTGCAAGTTCCACTGGTGCTGCGCCGTGCGGTGCGAGCAGTGCCGCAAGCGGGTCACCAAGTACTTCTGTGTCCGCAAGGAGAAGCGGGAGCGGAGTGGTGGCGGCGGAGCCAGCCGCAAGCTCAAGAGAAAGCTTTAACTTGTTTCTGCTTCTCTGTGGTCCTGTCTGCCCCTCTCCTCTCCTACCCTCCCCATCAGCCCCCAGCACCATCTCCTTTGGCTTAGCTCTGTTTCATTCCCAATGCTGCCACACTGGGGCTTGGGCTAGGCAAAGAGCTTATATGAGACCCCAGGCCTTAGCCATACACGGCATTTCCCATTAGTGCAGTGGGTGATGACTTCTGGGAAGACCCGCAAGCGTTAGTAAAGCAAGGTGAGATTTGGTCCCTTCAACTCAGAGTCACTCTATCCTGGAAACACAGGCAGTCTCAGTGGCTCCTGCTCTTTTGAGCTTGTCTGTTCCCCAACAAGCACCTGCTCTGTGCTTTGAGTGAGATCAACACTTATGAAAGCACAAGGAAGTGAGATGGCACTACCAGAGTTGGGCAACTCAGAGTGGTAATATCTAAACCAGAAGAGGCTTCTAGTACCCTAAAAAAATAGAGGCACTAAAATAAAGTTGTTTCTTTTACTACATGCTACATTGAGGGAATAGAAAAGGTGTGCAACTCCTTCCTGCAGCAAGCCAGCCTCCACAAGGCCCACAGCATTACTTCCCATCCTTTGAGAGCTTTGCTAAGCCCTCCAGTGCTTTACTTTGAATTTGAGATGGCAGCAGCAAGATTGAAGCTTCTGCTTGACCTGCCTATTAAACAGCTGTCCAAGAGAGGAGTCCCATCACTGGCTTTTTAGGTCTTTTCTCTATCTTCTAAGCATCTGGGTCTGCTCTCCATTTTCACCCCAGCATCCCTGCCAAAGCCCTTGACTGATGCCATAAAGATGCCTTTACACTTCTCCAGTCCTTTTTTCTCCCCTATCTCTCCCAGAGAGGAGCTGCCAGCTGAACCCATTCCCCAGCCTCCTGGTGTACTTGCCAAGCACTCTTACCCTGTCAGCTAACTAACTAAATACTTCTTCCTAGTCTGAGAAAATAATGTCAGTTACTATTTAATGGTGGTGTAAATAGGGAAGTGAAGCACTTTGAAGTTTAATTTATTGCACAGTTACTGTGATGTATACAAAACAGTTTTTCCTCTACCACTTATTGTATATATTCTATAGGCTAAGCAAGAAGCAGGAAGATTTGGTTGATCCATCTCTGTTCCCTTGCCTTGGTGGGGTAGGGAGGGAAGAAGCTGTTGGCTGCAGGACCTGGGGAGGCTCACTGCACCATCACAGTGATCTCCCCTGGCCTGTGAGGTTATCGTCTGCTTTGCTGTTTGAAGTGTCCTTCAGCCAGATGAGAAGCCAGGAGAGCTAAGTTACTGGCCATTAGACCTGTCTTGTAGCCAATATTTGTAAACCAATAGCCAATGCAATAAATCAGTAGCCAAGTGCTTGCAAAATGTTGTTGTGTCTAAGTAGCTGGGTGTCTTTTATCATCCAATTGTGCAGATGTATGTGTGTGGATGTACGTAGTTACAGTTCTGGAGACTAAAACCCAGCCACTTACTCATCTGTTGAGCATAAGAAGAGCTGACCAGTTCCCTCCACGCAGCACAACCTCAGCCCCTACCAGGAGGAAAAAGGGCCTGCTCTTTCCTTGAGCTCACTTGAGGTTACATCCAACTGCAATGCAACTGCCAAGAGGAAAGGGGGTTGTCGGGGGGCAGATGAGGGCCCAGTTGCCTGCTTCAGAGATGATACATTAAAGACACTCAGCAGTCCATATGTCTCTCTTAGTTATCAAATACCTTCTTGAGCCTAGGACTACTTCATTCGGGGTGGCAATTTGGACCTAAGGTGAGCTGGGGTCTCACGGGAGCACAGCATTCATGTCAATCTGTCCCTTCATAAATTGCAAGAAGCAATCTTGGCCTATTCTCAGGGAAACCTGAAACACTTCCCCTTCACACACAAACCAGCAGCTGTTTGTGCAAAGGTCCTCATTAATACGGGGATCCTACCCCTTGCTTTTCTGTCAGCAGTTCCTCAACCCATTGACATGGTTTAGTGGTGGACTTGGCAGTCCTGGGGTGATGGTTGGACTTGGTGATCCTAAAAGTCTATTCCAACCTATTTGATTCCGTGATTCTATGTCCCTGTGGTGGGAATGCATGCTTGGGCAGGAAAGCAGAGAGGTAGCGAAAGCCTGTTACTTAACAGGGAAAGCTCCAGCATGAGCTGGCTTGAAGACCACTTGCAAGGCAGAGGACAGCTTACACTCCCTTGTCCCTCTGTGTCTGACATTCCATGGCCAGCTGGAAGCATAAGGAGAAGATGTGGAAGCCGTTTCCCATTTCCTCCTCACTCAGCACAGGGCAGACTGTGCTACCCCATCCCTCCCCTACTGACAGTACTGCCCCACGTTGGCCCGGGAAGGCCATGGCAGAGCCCAGGACATGCCCGCCGGGCACAGTGACTCCTGCTGGTGCAGGGGCCACGCGGGGAGCGTGGCGAACACAAGCCCCAACGCCGCATGCTCCTCTCTCCGGGCAAACATGGCGCCGGGGACCAGTGACACTTGCTGGGGCAGGGCCCACGCGGGGAGCGTGGCGAACACAAGCCCCACCGCCGCATGCTCCTCTCTCCGGGCAAACATGGCGACACCGCAGCTGCGAAATGTGCTGACCTCAGCAGCAGGTCGGGGCCGCAGGGTCCCCCCTCCCCGGCGCAAGGAACCCCGAGCGGTAAAGGCCCTGCTGCCATTGTGCGGCAGGATTGGATGCTTCCATGTATTCATTTCGGTTTAATGAAGGCGCATTCCTCAGAGGAGAAATATTTACATTCAGCTTCCCAGGTGGTCACCTTCGCCCAGATGACACACAAACAGGCAGCCCCCCGCTCCCTTTTCCAATCCAAACCTCTTTAGAGGGCTCGGGGAGGAGGGGAGCAAGGGGAGGGGGGCTGCTGGGGGGAAGCAGAATAGAGAAGGGAACAAAATGCTAATAAATCAGCCAGCCAGCCCTTTTCCCCTCCCCTCTGTGGAGTCAATGGAAAGTGGCATTTCACATGCTAATCCCCCTCCGCTCTCTTCACAACACCTTTTCCGAAAAGTGTTTGGGAAAAGTCCTTGTGGCCCGTTTACAGCTCCCTGCCGCTTCGGATTCCTTCTTGTCTAAGGCCGCGGCCCCCGTGTGGGTCTCTCCTTCCAGCAGGGCTCCTTACAAAAAACATCTCAACAAAGACTTTGGAGTTCATCAGCCTCCCACTGAAATTCACAGCTGCTGAACAAACTAATCCCCTCTCTTGGCCTTTCTTCTTTTCAATGGGTTCTTGGCTTCAAAGACACTTTGGGAAAGGACTTTGTGGGGACTCACACTGCTTCCTCAATAGAAGTTAGTGCAAGCATTATCTTCAGAGCAAGTGGCTTTACAAACAAATACTGCCTAACAATCTCTGCCCCTCCAGCTCCCCCAAACACACACAAGCCTAGCCTGCAGACATGATGTTATCGGCAACGGGATTAGAGCTCTGTTCTCTGTGTCCAGGGATCTTTCCTACTGCCCCCCCCTCCCCAATTCTTTGTCAACCCAAAGGCCTTCTCACCCAACAGAAATGGTTTCTCTGTCCAGCTGCACAGGGATGCTGTGGTAGCATATGCCCACCTGGGAGGAGGCAATGCTGAGGAGCTGCTGTCCATAGACCAGAAGCTGTTACCAGCCAGCTGAGATAGTGCTATAAAATGGAGGAGCATTTTCCAGTGGGGTTTGCAAGACCATATAATGCACCAGGGCCACAGAGCTTCTACCCCAAGCCTCTTAAAGACCCTCAAATGGGTCACCTTGCTTCCCCAGGCCTGGTTTTCCTACCAAGAGTTTAGGGATGGTGCTCACTGGGGTAAACCTGAAGCAGAACTGAGCAACAGTGGGACAAAGGGGCAAGCGGGAAGGACTCAAAGCAAAGGCAGGATAAATAGCCAGTCTCTGCATGAGTCCATGGGTAGCAGGAGCTGTGCATGCTGGAGGAAACTAGAGTCAAATGCATCTGAGAAATACATGGAAAACACACACTTATTTCTCAGAGGTCCAAGTAGCCTGAGTTAAAAGAAAGACTGGGGCTGGACTGTGCTGGGTACTATAACTGGATCCAGAAAAGCACAATCTAAGAAATACCAGGCTTGTTAAATCATCTCAGGAAGCTAAGACTTCCCTTATATACTGGTTAAGCAAATGTTACCTCCAGGGTGACCAGCTCACTTGTACAGCATCAGAAGGGATCATAACACAAGTGCTGCCTTTGAAAATCAGTTTCCATCTTCCTGGTAGGGGACAGCTGGGAAGCCAGACTGGTTGATAACTACTCCCAGACCAGGCTGCAAAAGCTCTCCTTTACACTTGGAGTTTGCCTCTGCCAGCAGCAGAATTAACAAAGGCTGGTTTTCCCTGAATGCATGTGCTGGGTCCGTAACACCATAGAACTCTCATAAGCCCTGGCTCCTTCCCAGCAATAGCCCTTCAAATCCTCCCCATCCAAACAGTCTTCCTCAACTTTTACTTCCTCCCAAATCCTCCAACCACAAGCCAAGTAATACAGTCCTGCTTACTTCAGTTTCATGTGTGCTGGCTGACAGCAAAAAGAAAACAAAATTTTTTGAGATTACATTAGTCTTTTTGCAGAGCTAGTTGAATCTCCCCTGACTATCTTAGTGCTGATGTTTCAACTTCAGCCTTCTTACCTCCTTGAAAGCTTAAATGACATCAGCCAACAGATTCATTCAGAAGTTATTAACTAATGATAAGAACTGACAATTCAATGGTATAAACCCAATTTCCACATAGGTCAAATTCTTGTCCTAGCTGAAGTGGCTTCAGTGGTGTAGCACTGATTTGCAACAGGAGAGGAACTCATCAAGGGCTCTGTTTACTCACTGCCATACTTCCAACTCCCAATACCAAGTGTAAAATCCCCAACACTGCTGTAATTCCCCAAGGGAACCTCAGCCATCCCAGCGACCTTGTTGTGTCTGATGAGATTAACAGTCACAGCTGAGGCAGGTGATCTGGAGAAGATCAGTTTTCTGACCCTGCAGCCCTAAAG